GTTATGTAAGAAGTTTTAGTTAAGCTTAATAAACAAAATATATCTCTTGTAGTGTGTGGAGACTTTAATATCGATCTCCTGGAAACTTCATTCATCAGTATTAAATTTGGCTCTTTGTTCAAATCCTATAATCTTGATAATTTATTCTTTGAAGCTACACGTATTGCAGGGTGTAGTGCAATTTGTATTGATAATAGTTTTACAGGTGTTTATTTATTTTATTTATTTACACTTGATTGCACCTTAATAAAACGATTACAAAGGGCGGACTTAATGTCTTTAGGCATTCTCTCCCAGTCAACCCGGGTCGTGTGGAACTTAAATGATAGGTGACAAAATAAAATGAACGATAGAGTAAATCAAGGAAAAAAACTACTGATAAACTTAAAATATATATATATATATATATATATATATATATACAGTTAACTTAGATACATAAATATATGCATATTATAAATACAAATAGATATATAACATAAACCAAAAAATATAATAACAACAAAGGCAACGAAATTAACCATATTAACTCAAATTAAAGTGCTTATGTACCAATCTTATTAGATTTTTAAATGCAGTCTTATTAGATGTTTTTCTGACGTCATCGGGCAAGGTGTTCCAGAACAGTGCAGCCTGAATGGTGAAGGATTTACCAACCAAAATTAATAAAATGTAGTGGGATTCTTAGTTTATTATTATACGAAGATCGCATAGTTCTATCATGCGTTGAGGAAATATACTGAAATTTCTCCTTGAGATAAGAAGGAGTGGATGGATCATTTAAGATGGAGAAGAGAACAAGCAACATTCTTGAGTCACGCCTCTGTTTAATAGTGAGCCATTTAAGGCGAGGGCGATAGTGAGAGATATGATCAAATTTACGAAGATTGAAAATGTATCTGACGCAATTGTTGAGTAGACGCTCTAGTTTGTTGAGAAGATTTTGGTTTAAATCCGAGTAACACACGTCAGTATAATCAATGATCGGTAGGATAAGTAACTGTACAAGCATAAATTTAGCCTTGAAGGGGAGAAAATTTTTCAAGCGATAAAGAAAACGTAAAGAACCAGAGACTTTACGACATGTTTCGGAGATATGAACCCCCCAGGACAGAGTACTATCAATATGGAGACCAAGAGGGTCTTTTAACTGAGGAAGGGAACGGTATCAGGCGATTATTATAATAGACGGGAGGTATGCTAGCGGCATCTATTTTTGCAAGCATCCTTGAGCTACCCATAATCACCGCTTGGCATTTCGTAGGGTTGACAGATACTCCAAAGCGAATGGACCAATCACGGACTGATTTGAGATTGGAATTCAATTTGTTAATCGCATTATGGATGTCACAAATGTCAGACTGTACATAAAATTGTGGGTCATCAGCATACATTAGATGTGATGAAATTAATAAAAATAGGGAACATTCAGGGAGAAAGTATACCGCCTTGCGGTACGCCAGAAATCAGGTCAACCCACAGTGAAGTTATTTGCTCCACGTGGACATATTGTTGAAAACCGTGAAGATAAGATGAGAACAATTCCAGGACTGACGGTGTAAACCTATAATAAGAAAGGATGGCAAGAAGGATATCATGGTCAACTGTGTTAAAAGCGTTAGAAAAGTCAATGAGCACCACAACTGTAACTTTCTTGTTTTCCATTCCTTCTCTGATATCTTCAGCTATTTTAAGTAAAGCGGTTGTACTGCTGTGACCAGGACGAAACCTGCACTGAAAAGTACTCAGCAGATTATGTTTATATATGAAATTGAAAATTTGCTTATGACTCAGGATCCCAGAACTTTAGATAGGAAAGGTAAAACTGATATGGGGCGGAAATGATTGGGAAGTGTAGGATTGGATACTTTAGGAAGGGGTCTTACGAAGGCCTTTTTCTACTGACTCGGAAACGGACCCGAGTTAAGCGAAAAATTAACAATATGTGTAATTGCGGGGAGAATGTTTTCTTGAATATTAATAATCATCGCTCTACTAATATCATCGCAACCGACAGCATTGGATTTTATTTCCAGAAGAGTCTTTCTAATTTCATCCTCATCAACAGGGTTAAAAAAAATACTGTTGGTGTTGTACCAATCAATAAATCAATAATTCAAAAACTTAGTTCAGATCACTGTGGACAACTAATTTCATTACCTTATATGCACAAAAAATAGGTAATTGAGAAAAGTGTGTTTGTTCCTATTAATGTAAAACGCCTGGAGAGATTTAGATGTAATATTGTATAAACCTTCCATCGCTTTTTTATAAAAACAATGCAGACTATTTATATGGAGAATTATTAACCCTTATAAGCAATGAATTAAAAAAAAAAACATTTACTTCTAAAACATTTTCCAGAAACAGTCGTAAGGCATTTAATGATGGGGCGACAGTAGGAATTCATAAAAGCAGACGAAGGTTATATGGCCTTTACCTTGAAAGATCATATAATCTTTCCGATGATTTTAAAGAATACGTCAAAAATCATTCTAAAATGTTTAAAAGAGTTTGCTCCATAGCCAAATCGTTTCATATTAGCAATAAAATTAAGACGGCTAAGAATAAAATTAAAATGACGTGGAGTATAATTAACAACGAAACCGGTAAAGACAAACCTCGTTACTCAAACTATCAATTAAAAATTAACTATGAATTGACTAAATCAAATCAAGAAGCAGCGGTGTTTGAGAAATATTTCACTGATATTCCTATCTTGACATCAGAGGCATTGAAAACTTCTCCAACTGTCACCGAGTCATTACTCAAACAGAATGTTAATACCTATTGAAAATAATTTAGATTTGAAAAAGTATTATCGCTAGATGTTGTAAAATACTTCAAAACCATTGATGTAAAGAAGACCGCAGATTTGTGGGGGATTTCCGTTACAGTTATTGGGTCCATAATAGATTTAATTGCACCTCGTCTTGTTATTATTTTTAATACTTGTATCGATTCTGATGTGTTTCCTGTTTTATGAAGTATAGTAAAGTAATACATTTATTTGAATCTGGTAGTACATTGGACCCCGCTAATTTTAGACCTATTTCTGTACTATTAATCTCAGTAAAATATTGAAAAAATAATTTTAGATCAATGGTAATTTTTATTAACACAAGTAAATTACTTCATAAAAACCAATTTGGTTTTACAAGGGGTCGCTCGACATCTGACGCCGGTGTTAAGTTTATAAAATATATTTTAATGCCTGGGAGAATTCACAAGTTGCTTTAGATATTTTCTGTGATCTTTCAAAGGCTTTCGATTGTGTTCATCATGAGACATTAATCAGGAAACTACAACATTACGGTGTTAAAAATCTTGCGCTTCGACTAATTACTTCATATTTAAGTAACAGAAATCGAAAATTCGTGATCAATAGTAAAGGTTGCTCCGGATCGATGATACTAATGGGCGTTCCTCCGGGCTCGATTCTTGGCCCATTCCTGTTTTTAATCTATAGTAATAACTTACCTTATCTTGTAGGGGACAATCACGATATAGTATTATTTGCTGTCGATACCTCTTTAATTTTCAAACTTAAACGGCAGTCAATTAATTATGAAGATGTAAATAATGCTCTATCGAAATTAGTACATTGGTTTAACGCCAACAGTTTGCTCTGAAACGGTAATAAGACAAAATGTATTAAATTTACAATACGTAATGTAAAACATTCGAATACCAATGTGCTGTTAAATGGGGAGGAATTGAGTCTTGTGGATACCACTGTTTTTCTTGGTATTACTATTGACGCGAAACTTCAATGGGGCCCCCATATATCTAAATTAGCAAGCAGACTTAGTACTGCAGCATATGCTATAAGAAAGATTAGAAGTCTCACAGATGTTCAAACAGCTAGATTAGTGTAATTTAGTTACTTTCATAGCGTAAAGTCTTATGGAATTTTGCTACGGGGTAATGCGACTGATATTGAAGCTATATTTGTTTTGCAAAAGAGAGCCGTACGGGCGTTTTATAACCTAAATTGTAAAGAGTCCCTCAGAGAAAAATTTTAAGAAATTAACATATTAACTTTGGCATCGCAATATATTTATGAGAATGTAATGTATGTGTTAAAAAACATAAAAAGCTTTAATAAGAATAAGGATGTGCACACTTTAAACACTACGAACAAACATAAGCTTGTAATACCAGTTACTAGACTCCACAGAATCAGTAATTCATTTATGGGGCAATGTATACGCTTTTAAAACAAAATTCCAGAACATATTCAAAGTTTGTCAATAAACAAGTTTAAAAGTTTTATTAAAGAAAAACTGTACAGAAGGGTTATTATAATATCAAGGAATACATGAATGAAAATAACCCCTGGGAATAAGGTGTTCTCCACCATGCTGGTTCTATGAAAAAATCAATTAAAAATTGTATAAACAAAATTATTGTTAAGTGAAATATGTTTGAAAAAAAAAGTCCCGCTGGGTTTCTTGCTGGTTTTTCCCAGGACTGAGGTATTTTCTGAACCAGCGTAAATAAAAAATGACTTGCAATAAGTATTATGTAATAATCAATATTGAATAAAAATTAATCTATTCTATTCTATTCTATTCTATTCTATTCATAATAGTCTACTCAATAGAGATGTGAAAGTGACGTTAAACATCTTCAAATTTTAACCTCATTTTTATGTGGTTAAAACCCTTGTTATTATTGTAATTAATTTAGGTACGAGGTTGAATCTCGCGAATTACAAATAGCAGTACATTTATTTAAACTAATGTCTTAATATGAGCGTCGCATATGCAATCTCATCCCACAATAACCGATGTGATGAGTAAGGGCGTAATCTTTAATGGACTTATAAGACTGATAAAGAAGTCAACCGTGCCCCCAGTAGGTTCGGCAAAAACTGTCTGTCCTAGGAAGAATCAGCTAGAAACCCAGTGGGACTTTTAAAATAAAGGATAAATAGAGGTCACGTTGTGACTCGACAAGAAGGAACGGGTAAAATAAATGGGCGTGTTTGTGCGCAGGTGCGAACGGGAACGTGACGTACTCGGTCCAGGAGTGGGGCGCGGTAGAGGGCGTGGAGGAGCGTGAGCCGCAGTTCGCGGTGTCGGCGCGCGGCGAGGTGCGCGTGGCGGCGCCGCTGGACCGCGAGGCGCGCGCGCGCCACCACCTGCTGCTGGCCGCCGCCGACGCCGGCCGCCCCGCGCTGCGCACCACCGCGCACCTCATCATCACCGGTACGCCGCCCCTCTCTCATCACTCCACGCTGGACCGCGAGGCGCGTGCGCGCCATCACCTGCTGCTGGCCGCTGCCGACGCCGGCTGGCCCGCGCTGCGCACCACCGCGCACCTCCTCATCACTCCACACCTACCATACTCTTCTTCAAATATTCGCTACTGACACAAACCCCAAAATAATTCAGCCATTTTTTATACATCTAAATTATCTAACACTAATACTCCAATATATAATTTGTAAAATATATGAGTAGCTCCAATTACAGATATACTGCTTATGTTTCTGCGAGGTAGTTAATGAAGAAACCTGTACAGAACTTAATTTATTCAATACTAGTTTTTGCTTGCGTCTTCGCCTGCGTAAAGTTCGGAAAACGACAAAATATCGAAAAATCGCAGTACACGTTCAACGTTATTAGATGTTAGCTTTAGATAGGGACTTTGGTACGGCCTATAAACTATATCCATGAAAAAGATCATATATATTATTATCATATAAATATAATCCGTTGGTCCGTTGTTGCATGAAAGAATCGCATACCAACAAACACACTTTTGAATTCGGAGTAATAATTAGTAGAGTTGATAATTATTATTTTAAATAGGATTTGCCTTTTATTGGGAGTAAAATTAATTATCCCGTCATTCCAAAATATAACACAGCTGTACTACTAGCATGTAGAATGTAACTGTTCAATCCTCGAGTCACCGTCAGGCTCGATACCGATCGTGTCTCAGTAGGCGATTGGTAACGGGCCGAACGGCTAGCAAGGGATCGTTGGAAAGCTGAAGGTCCGTGTGCGCAGTGGAAGACGTGAACGACAACGCGCCGCGGATGGAGCGCGGCGTGGTGACGGCGCCGGTGTCGGCGGAGGCGGCGCGCGGCGCGGCGCTGGCGCGCGTGGCGGCCTGGGACCCGGACGCGGCCGACGCGCCGCGGCTGCGCTACGCGCTGGCCGGCGCGCCCGCGCAGCGCGCGCTGCGCCTGGACGCGGCCAGCGGGCTGCTCACGCTGGCCGACCCGCGCGCGCCGCTGCCGCGCTCGCTCAACGTGTCCGTGTCGGACGGCGCGCACGCGGCCGTGGCGCGCCTGGAGCTCGCGCCGGCGCCGGCCAACCGCGCCGCGCCGCACTTCCCGCACCTCGTGCACGAGGCGCGCGCGCGCGAGAACCAGCCGCCGCCGCTGCTGCTCACCACGGTTCGACTGCCACATAGCTCTATCTACGCTATTTCTAACCTTTTGCTCGATAACCCTTTCTCTTAGCTATATTATGGTGACAACAAAAATGAGTCTGCTTGACCGAGGTTTCATAAAATCGCCACGCCTTCATAAAATACTAGCGCATAATAATAGGTTTATGCTACTGTGTTTCATATGGTACGTATAGATAACCGGAAACAGTGCATTTTACTCCTCAGAGGTACAACGCAATTAAAAATCGAACCTGATGTTCGATTTTTAATTGAGTATTCTCGTAAATGTAGATGTCTATAAACTACGATATCTACTTACCATCAAGAAGACTGCTTATACGTTTGTTACTCTTATTTTTATATATAAAAATTACGTGTCACGTTGTTTGTCCGCGATGAACTCCTAAACTACTGGACTGATTTCAATAAAATTTTGCACACTCTGTGCCGTTTGGTCTAACTTGAAAGATAGGATAGTTTTTATCCTGATAAGTGAGACTCGATAGTTTTTGATTAAGAATTTAAGGATTTTTATAGGACACAGGGTCGTCGGAGAGAGCAGAACAACGTCTGCCTGGCCAGCTAGTTTTATAATAAAAAAATAATGAACACTTTGAACATTTCAATTATTAATTGTTATAAACTATTCTTATTTTCATTATTAAATAGTTCACTGGTGATATACGAAATGTTTTCTTAGTGAGAAATTTTTGCGATCATCTTTTAGTTTTATGGGTGCTTTAGGGATAGAGGTTTAAAGCCGTGGTAGCTCAGATGGTTAGCGCTAGCTGTTAGTTTCACAATACGCTAGCAACCCGGGTTTGATCTCCGCCAGCACCAATGAAATTGTTAATTGCAATTCTAAGTTCTGATTTACCACGTGTTCGGCGATGAAAGGAAATGAGAGATCTGTGCTCAGTTGTAACTTTAATTTTTAACTATTTTTAGGGATCGTATTATTTGCCGATTTAGATATGTTACATTTTCCACGTATACAATAATGAGATTCCTTAACAACTCTGGCACCGAATGTCTTATCGCGGGGTGAAACAGAACGAGTGTGTATCTGTAGGTGAAGGCGTACGACGAGGACGCGGGCGAATACGGCGCCGTGACGTACTCGATCCCTTCGGCGCGACTGCGCGACACGTTCGCGGTGGACGCTAGCAGCGGCGCGCTGACGACGCGCGTGCCGCTGGATCGCGAGGCGCGCGCCGAGTGGGAGGTGCCGGTGCTGGCGAGCGACGGCGGCGGCCGCCTAGCGCACACCACGGTGCGGGTGCGCGTGCTCGACCTCAACGACTGCGCGCCGAGCTTCCCGCTGCGAGAGTACCGCGCCGCCGTGCGCCACGACCACACGCCCGGAGTGCCGTTCCTCACGCTGCGCGCGCACGACGCCGACGCACCCGACAACGCGCGCCTCACCTATTCCGTTTACGAGGGCGAACTACGCTCCGACGCCAGTGGCCTTTTCGCCGTCGACCCCGTCACTGGCGCGCTCTCCTTCGCTCGCAACGCGACCGCTTTCGGTGAGTTTGTAGCCTAATATTAAAAAAAATATTCAATCTTTTAATAATGCATATTTAGAAAAAAACCTTCCTTCACTTCCAAAGTCCGTGCTAGGTAATAGTTTATTGAGCAATTAAAGCGCGACTTCAGTAGCCATTATACAGGGTTATTGTTCAAAGAGTAGCCAAACTTTACACTGAAGGTCAAATAAATAGATTATTATATACCAATATTATTATTTTTTTTTGAAAATACGAGTAAATGAGGATTCTATTTTTATTTGAAACTATCCCAAATTAATTATGATATATGGGCAACAACTACTCTTATGCGCGCTCTTGTGTGTGTGATTCAGTTCACGTTTTGTTAATCATATTTTTGCCTACTGTTTACTTTATTAGTGACACGCTTACTACCTATTCTTAAGTAAGTAAGCGAAAGTAGTAAATAAGTGCTTAAGCTTTACTTCATGACGCGAATCATGATCCCAATTTTCCTTTTAACGGGCTTGGGTTCGTCATATTAAATAAAATTAAAAAATATATTTTTGCTTATCAACGACCTAACCGTCGACTGCCCTTATTATAACAGTCTCTACTTCTGCCTATCCTTGACTATGCTGACATTTGCTATTTTGACATTACCGAAGAGCAGCTTAGTAAGCTTGAGCGCATTCAAAATTTATTTATTAGATTCATATTTGGGCTTCGCAAGTATGATCATATCTCTAAATTTCGTAAACAGCTCAAATGGCTCCTGATCCGTCTTCGCAGGAATACTCACATTCTCTCCACTTTGTATGGCGTGCTGTTTAATTATTCCACTCCTCATTATTTAAAAAACCGTTTCCAGTATCTTTCCCTTACTCATAATCAGTTCTTATGATCATCTCTCAATCTTTCTCTCTCTACTCCTTCGCACTCTTCCTCCTTTTTTAAGAAATTCTTTACTGTAACTGCTGTACGTTTGTGGAACTCTTTACCTCTCCACATTCGTCGTGCTCTATCTCTTCATTCTTTCAAAAGTCTTGTTAAATCGTATTACTTAGAACGCTATTAGATAAATTACTTTTATTCTTTCGTACTCTTTTCATTCCGCACCGTGTAGTGAAGGTTAATAATATCCACTATCCCATATCTTCCCGTGGGTGTCGTAAAAGGCGACAAAGGGAAACAGGCAGGAGAGGGGCAGCAGCATCTTCCTGATAATATCAAAAATACAATTAAAAAACTGCGGTTGCCAACCCGCTCGCCAAGCGTGGCAACTATGGCAAATACCCCCCAAATGGATAAAGTTACTAAGAGACGGCCCCCAGTCCCCGGCGGCCCCGATATTCCTGGCTACTGTGGCGACCATGGTAATGGCAGGGCAGGGGGTGGTAAGAATCTCCGGTGGAGGTTCGGTTGCCACCTACGACGACTCGACCTGGCAACATACAACGCACGCACCCTGAGGACTGACGAGAAGATTGTGGATCTGGAAGAAGAGATAGACAAGTTACGCTGGCATATTATAGGATTATCCGAAGTCCGAAGAGAGGGGGAGGAAACGGTAATCCTCGAATCTGGCAATTTGCTCTATTACCGGGAGGGCGACCATCTGTCCCAAGGAGGTATCGGATTAATCGTCCACAAGTCTCTCGTTAACAACGTTGTAAAGATTGTGAGAGTGTCGACGAGGGTTGCGTACCTTATACTCAGAATCACCAAACGGTATTCGCTGAAGGTCATACAGGTTTACGCACCAACCTCAGCACACCCCGATGAGGAGGTGGAGGAAATGTATGAGGATATCTCTAGAGACATGCATTACTCCAAAACCCAATATACGGTGTTTGTACACGTCCCTAGCTGCCCCAACAAAACGGTGACGGGATTAGGGCCCATGAGTAATCCCATGGACGAGCAGCAGAGGGACGGGGCCAGAATATGGCCGCGTGGAATTTCCTAATTACAATAAACAATATGGGAGGAAGCTAGAAACACATAGTACTTACCATTAACCGAAGCTAACGTCGCATCAAAGCTTGGGCAGGCCGTAAGTGTGTGTAATAGTGGATGGCGAGTAGTGTACAGTGAGGTGTGAATGTGTGGGGCCTTGTCAAGCATAGGCGACCCGCAGCGGCCGAGTTCCAAGCTGCTCCAAAATGCTGCACCTCTTCAGACTGCTTCGGCGCCGGACCACTTCTTCGTTCGTCACGATGACAGTCCATTAACTCTATCGCACGATTAATTAACTTACAGAAGCTATCTCGTTTGTTATAAGGTTAACGCACAAAACGAATACGGATCAAAGGTCACTACCGTTTCGCGTAGCAACAGTTATTTCTAGAATATCAAAGGCCGCACTAGCTAATATTGCCAAATGCACTTATACATATTCTGAGTCGGACCCAATAAGTCCCTGGGAAGCTCTCTAGCTAGGAATACGCGTCACAAATCCTAGACCGTATATTTACGGGCCGCGCCTAATTATTCCGAGTTCCCTAACAAAATTGACAGTGTGCTGATGTTAGCACCGCTGACAGACGACTCCTCTGCACCTTTACGCGTTCTCAACCCCACCGCTCGAGCGACGTCAAAACCAGTATGGCACCGAGGGTCGCGCTCCCTAGACGTCGATTCCGACAACAGCGTTTGGCACGAACAGTGTTAATGGGAGACTTCAATGCAAAACTAGGCACAAGAGAGAATGGTAAGCTGAAAGTAGGGAAATTCGGAATAGGGCAACGGAACCTAAGGGGCCAGCGGCTGGCCGACTTCATGGAGAAAGAGAGACTCTTTATGATGAACTTTTTCTTCCAGAAGTGGCCCCACAGGAAGTGCACCTGGTCGAGCCCCGACGGTTCGACAAAAAATGAGATTGACTTCATTATGACGACCAGACGACAACTCTTCAGTGATGTCTCAGTGATCGCGAGGGTGAAAACCGGCAGCGATCATCGAATGGTTAGAGGCACACTGAACCTAAACGTTAAGTTGGAGAGGTCTCGTCTAATGAAGTCAACGCTCCGTCCCCCTCGTGCTCTAATCCAAGGTCCCGAAACCTTTCAGCTCGAGTTACAAATCCGTTTTCAGTGCCTAGAAGACTGCGATGAAGTGGACGATATGAATGACAAGCTCATGGAAACTGTCCATGCGGTCGAAGCTAAGTTCTGCAAGACCCGCCGCACAAGAACACAAAAACTCTCCTATCACACTCTTAATCTCAGGGCTGTTAGACGGGAGATGAAGCTACATTCTTCAACAGATTTGACAGCATACAGGCAACTGAACAGACAGATCTTCAAATGCATGCGGCGGGTCTTACGCAACTTCAATACAGCTCGTATTGAAGAAGCGATCGAGTGGAACCAAGGCTCCAAAGTCTTTGCCAGAGATCTGTCTGCCAGAAAGAGCCAACTTCAGCGGTGCCAAGTGAACTATCGGTATATCGAAGTGCTGAAGTGCTTGTACAGTAGGGCTACGATGGCTATCCGAGTACAGAACCAGAGTACGAAACCTATCCAATTGCAGAGAGGTGTAAGACAGGGTGACGTCATATCCCCGAAACTCTTCACCGCTGCATTGGAAGACGTTTTTAAGCTTCTGGACTGAAAAGTATACGGTATCAACATCAATGACGAGTACATCACTTACATTCGATTTGCCGACGATATAGTCCTTATGGCAGAATCGCTGGAGGACCTAAGCACTATACTCAATGACCTCAATAGTGCTTCCCAACGGATAGGTCTTAAGATGAACATGGACAAAACAAAGATCATGTTTAATGCCATCATGTTATGCCGGTAGTTGTTGGGAGCACTAAGCTCGAAGTTGTTGATGAGTATGTTTACCTGGGACAAATAGTCCGACTAGGTAAGTCCAACTTCGACCTAAAGGTCAATCGACGGATTCAACTCGGTTGGGCAGCGTTCGGGAAATTACGGCACATCTTCTCGTCAGGTATACCTCAAAACTTGAAAACGAGATTGTATAACCAGTGCGTGTTGCCAGTGATGACAAACGGAACTGAGACGTGGTCCTTCACTGCTGGACGGATGAGGAAGCTCAAGGTCGCTCAGCGAGCTATGGAGAGGGCTATGCTCGGAGTTTCTCTGCGTGATAAACTCAGAAATGAGGATATCCGCAGTAGAACCAGAGTAACCGACATATCCCATCGGATTAGTAAGCTGAAGTGGCAATGGGCCGGCCATATAGCTCGAAGAACCGACAACCGATGGAGAAGAAAGGTTCTCGAGTGGCAGCCTCGTACCGGTAGGTGAAGTGTTAGGCCTCGCCCCACTAGATGGAGTGATGACCTGGTAAGATATGCAGGAAGTCGATGGATGCAGGTGGCTCAGGGCCGTGCTTTGTGGCATTCCTTAGGGAACGCCTATGTTCAGCAGTGGACTTGTGAAGGGCTGGAATTATGATGATGATGATGATGACTCTTTTCATTTAATCTATTATATTATATCATACACACTCTTCACTTGTCTTTATTTGTATGTATTTTCATATTTTTTATTTTTATTTTGTACGCCCCCCTCTATTTGTAACTATTATTTGCATCAGTTCTCTACACTACGGTTGTCTGGAAGAGATCACTTTCAGAGTGATAAGACCGCCTTTTGTACATTTTTTACTTGAGATTTAACTGTATTCGTTTTGTTTCGTTTTTTCGGTGTACAATAAAGAGTAAATAAATAAATAAGGAATGTCGTATTTTCTAGTTTGTCACATTTTTTTACACCACTTTTCTTAATTATAGTATGGAATGTCGTGTAGATAATTACGAAATTTCATCTCCTAATTTTCTACGCTTAAGAGTGATTTTTTTCTTAGAATTTACATATATGCGACCATCCCTGAAGTGTAGGCTAATCAATTAAACCAGCTCGTTACAGAATTTGCCCTATCATATTTTTTACAAATTGATAATCCTTCTTTTTAAAATTGGTTAAAAACAAACAAATGTTTTATCGGTGTAAATTAATTAAAATATATTTAATAAAGTAAATGAAATGAAATTACCTACCTACCGAGACCTGGCAACTTTGCCACTTTTGGAAGGATTTAAAAGTTTAGAACCAATCCCAATTTCCAACATTAAAGGTACTTTCAAACTAGGCGTCAATATTAAAAGTGACACTAAATTATTTGTGGTCGTTGAAGAAAAAGAGGAGATATCCCGCCCTGCAAGGTGTTCTGCCCGGGGAGCGGCCAACGTTCCTAGTGGTAGTTCGGAGCTATTCTATATATACTGCTTTTACTTCGGAACTTTTATAGCGCAATTTGGGCTTCGATTTATTTTCGCTTGTGGCGCGACGACAGCGCCGCCACGTCACCCCCCTGCTCAGACCGGAGGTCGATAGTGCAGTCTATATGTCGACGATTGTTCAAGTGTCAGGGAATTTCCTTGTAGTTTGCGGTAAGTTCTGAAAAAGGCAAGTAATCTGCGAGAGTGCCGTGAAGCAGAGGCGAGCAGTAAGGCTCAGAGCCGTGCTGAACATTGTAGTGCAGTGAGTAGCTTAAAGAAACAAGAAGCATTATGATTCCAATGCTGCGATAAACATTTGTGAAGTTCACATCACGTTGGTTGGTCACCACTGTAGCCATGGAAGGAAAAGGGGAGATCTCCCGCAGGGCAAGGTGTTCCGCCCAGGGGCGGCCAACGCTCTTAGTGATAGTTCGGAATTATATATACTGATTTTACTTTGGTACTTTTATAGGGCGATTTAGGCTTCGATGTATTTTGCTTGTGGAGTGATGACAACGCCGCTACATCTTCATAGATTAAGTATTTATTAGTTATTTAAACAAATAATAACATTAAATATACAAAATAGTTACGATTTGCTCCTTTAATTGAGTTTCATATACCTAGCAAAGTTTACGCTTGTGGCAAAGTTGCCCCCCATTTTTCAATTTTTCATACAAACATGAAAATATGTGTCAGGGTTGTTAAAAATACTTAATTACGTAGATTACTTAATCTTTTAATTTAAATCTTGTCAATAATTTCTTAAGAAAAAGTCTGAAATATTTAAAACAAAAATACGCTCCTCTAAAATCAAATTGATGCAATGATAAGCTTAAATCAATTATAGTATCGCTAAAAGAAAGCTTGTCACAATCATTTTAACAAGTATCCGTTTTTTATTAGTCACCTTTATTGAATAAAACTACTTTTACGGACTCTATCACGTTTAATTAAATTATTTTTATTAATTACCGACGTTTCGGGAGCTGTAAAGCACCGAAAAGAATCCGTAAAAGTAGTTTTATTCAAAGTGTAGAGTTCGCATAAATATAAAAATCATTAGTCACCTTTATAATTTTATTACGACCAGATAAAAATAAATAAATTGTAATCAAAAAAAAAATTCCCACAATAGCAAAACATTCATAATCATTAAAAATTACACTAATTTTGGTTGTAAATAAACATGAAATAAACTAAGATGAAATCATGAAAAACACTGAGTAGTAATAATATTATTGATAACCGATAACGCAGTAAAAATAATATAGATTTCTCTTTTTTTCCCTTCAATTTTGATAAAGATGAATCAATTAACAACTCAATTGGTTAAATCGGTCTTACGCTGCTACGGATAAAAATCGATACAAACATTACATACATCGAATGTCACGCACAGAATCCTTTCTTTAAATTCGTAATCAGTTAAATTATAAGTTGAAAGTGACAACCATTAGTTGTAGCAAAACATGGCAAAGTAACCATCACATCGTGGCATCACTAGTATGGTACTTTGGAAAAGTTAGTCTTATAGATAAAATATTAAGACCAACATGTTAAAAACGATATATTACATTTACGTTACTACAAGAATATAGAACATTAAGTTTTTCAAACAAAATCAACAAAATATTGGAGCAGTGCACGGTTACTTACATGGTTTTATTTTAACGAGTAATTGTGCCACCGAAAACTCCACGTTAAAATAAAATGCCAGAATTAATTTTGATGTTGCCACACCGAAAACAATGCTGTCAGTTACTTATTTTATTACGTCAAAGAAATGAAATATTTCGAAAAATTTTACGTTTTCAGTGTTAATCGTAATTTTATACCGGTACACACCTAATGGAAAAGTTAACTTCCATTGGTAAAGTTGCCAGACTTGATTGTACTTAAAAACATTGTTTTGCTGCAAAAATCGCTTGTGCTGCCAAAATCCATAAAAATGCTTGATGAATCACGTGTGTGGATACGCGCGTGCAGCGGGGCGGGCGCTGCAGGTGTGGGTGCGCGCGCGCGACGGCGGCGGGCTGGCGGGCGAAGCGCCGGTGTCGCTGCACGTGCTGGCGGGCGCCGCGCCGCGCCTCAAGCGGCCGCCGCCCGACCTGTTCCTGCGCGAGGACGCGCCGCCCGGCACGCTGCTGGCCGAGCTGGCCGACCTGGCGGACGGCACCGACACCCACGGCACAGACGAGGCGCCACGCTACCGCCTCGCCGACTCGCCGTCGCGCAACCTCTTCGCGGTGGACGCGGCCGGCCGCCTCGTGCTCGCCGCGCCGCTCGACCGCGAGACCGCAGCCGAACATGTTATAGGTCACTACCTATTTTCTCCGTTTTTGATGTGACAAAGTATCACTCTTACTGTTTCATTAACATCCTGTCGAAAGTCCATTGCTGAACAAAGGCCTCCCCCATAGGTAGATAACAATCAATAGCTGACACTCTTAGCATGTGAATTGGAAAGCATAGATTTTTAATTATTTGTAGGAATACGTTTTAGCCCATCTGCTATCTTGATTGTCGTGGCCTCGTGGCCTTTTATGACACCCACGGGACAATATGGGGTAGTAAATATTCTTACACTCCGATTGTTCATATTGTTCGTTTTAGGAAAATAACCTTCTTTGCGTTCGGCTATTTCTGAAAAGCTTTAAGTGACAATTGCAATATTTTTGTAACATTATGGAGCTGCAAGTCATAACTAACTCCCTAAATTGTATAAAAGTACTAAAATAGGTTTAAGAATATCTAAAAAGTGCTTTAATAACATTTAAAAGAAATTTTGATCCTATATGTTGCCATATTCAAATACACATCGACGACGCGATCAATCACATTTCAAACATAAAACGGTGTGTGCGTGTGCAGGCGTGATTGCGGAGGGGCCGGGCAGCCCGGCGCCGAGTGTCATGGTGATAACAAAACTGCACGTGCTCGACGTCAACGAACACGCTCCCTCGTTCCACTCACAGCCGTACGTCGTACATCTCGCTGAAAACACGCCTCCAAATTCAAACATAATTCAATGTAAGTCACTTAAAACACAATACATTAGGTACATACACGTACATACAGTATACGTGGGGCTGAGTAAATCAGTGTCTCTCTCGCACAGTGATGGCCGACGACCCAGACTCAGGGTCAAACGGCGAGGTGCAGTACTCGCTGGGCGAGGCTGCGGGTGCCGAGGGCGAGGAGGCGACGTTCGCGGTGGAGGCGCACAGCGGCTGGGTGCGGCTGGTGCGCGCGCTGGACCGCGAGGCGCGCGCCGAGTACCGCGTGGCGCTGCTCGCCGCAGACGGCGGCTCGCCGCGCCGCGCCGCCCGCGGCACGCTCGTCGTGCGCCTGCTCGACTACGACGACTGCCCGCCCATCTTCCACCAGGACCTCTACGAGGCCGAGGTGCGCCCTTCTAATTATTATTTTTTTAATAATGTTACCCCCACATTGGAATGTTCTCTTAGTCTTCAAACACTATCAAATCATTCTGCCGATAACATGAAATTTTTCTTTAGTACATACAACATAAACGATTGGAAGTTACTACAAGGGGACCTCAATAGATTTGTATCTTATTATCAAAGTAACAAACTTGACCTTAATGTCACTAAATGTTTCGCTATGTCTTTTTCACGAAAATCAAACCCTGTATATAGTTATCATAAAACTTATAAAACATCTGGTTTTAGTTTAACTTAACAATAAGAATGCTAAACTTTTGTTTCATAAACATTTTGATTATATTGCAAGTAGGGCTTCTTCAGCTTTAGGTTTTCTTATAAGTTCAGGCTCGAATTTTAAAAGGGCAAAAATATTGAAAATTCTGTAATTTACTCCAGTGCGTAGCATATTGGAGTATGGTTCACGGGTGTGAAACTCAGTTTATATAAAACATCTTTAGCCAATTCAAAATATTTGTTGAACTATTTAGAGTATAAACCCCAAGTTTATTAGCACGTTACGTAAGACATATTATGTCTTACTTTATTAACTTACTTCCCTTACAAATTCTTTAAACAAATCCAAAGAAACGTTTCCGACATATGTACATATTGAAGATAGCAAATGGGACAATAAATTCGTTAGAACTTTTGAAACACTTTAAACTCGTAGTTCCGCCTAGCACTAATACTAGAAGTAAGCTTAGATTGTGCGTTCCGTTGGTACGCACGAACTATCAAAAAATGCATACCTTGTTCTCACTTCACCATCATCATCATTACAGCTCTTCACAAGTCCACTGCTGAACATAGACCTCTCCCAAGGAATGCCACAAAGTACAGTCATGACTTGCCAGGTCGTCACTCCATCTAGTGGAGGGTCGCCCTACACTTCGCCTACCAGTACGAGGCTGCCACTCGAGAATCTTTTTTCCTCATCGGTTGTCGGTTCTTCGAGTTATATGGCCGGCCCATTACACCTTCAGCTTACTTATCCGTTGGGATATGTCGGTTACTCTGGTTCCACTGCGGATATGCTCATTTCTAAATTTATCACGCTGAGAAACCCTGAGCATAGCCCTCTCCATAGCTCGCTGAGCGACATTGAGCGTCCTCATACAGCCAGCAGTGAAGGACGATGTCTGAGTTCCAGTGGCAAAGTTAGGACTCCAAACTAGGGCAAGCCCAAGGTATGATTTTGTTGTTTTTAGCAGTTTTATAAAAATACACCAATCTTGATCTGTCTCCACTCTTCAGTGTCATATTCAGTGCTGTCAAGGACGTGTTTAACAAAGTTGCAAACGTAATAACGTATCGCTCGCGTGCCCCCGCGCTCTGCTAACTTCATACATAAAGCCAGGCTTATCGCTCCATACTAATTGCTATATAAACAATCATAGTTATATTTCATTATAGAACATTATGCCATAAGTTAGAAAGGGAGCGATCGTCTTCTCGAAATCCCGGTTAAAAGCCCACGGGTGCAAGAGAGACTACTAATTGCTTAACTCAACTCCTTTTTTATGACAGCAGTGTCGCGCAGTTTTGCCGCGGCGATTAATTTTGACAGTCCATTGCGTGGAGGAGCGCGCGAGAAATTTGAAATAGTTTGAAACAGTAGAGTTATTTTATTAGTTGATATTATTGATTGAGCAGTTTCATAAGGCAAGCCCGACTTTTCGGCTTCAATGGAGGCTTCGCTACCGCTCAGTTCCATAGGTCATCACTGGCAACATGCACTGGTTGTACAATCTCGTTTTAAAGTTTTGAGTTATAACTGTGTGACTGTCGTGATGTGTCGTAATTTCCCAAACGCCCCTCAGCCGCGTTGAATCCGTCGATTGTCCTTGACTTGTTCTCACTTGCAGGATTTTTAATTAAATGAGTGATAGCACTGAAGCGGATATACATTTTATCGGTACTATTACATTAAAACAAATTTTGGCGACAGTTCTTTCTTATTTTTACGAGGGTACAAAACCATTTTATTTTTATCTTATTTACATGTGAAAACTTAGTAATATTTAATTTCTACATACATGTAAAAAAACAATTCATTGTAAGTAGCCGTTTATTTTCTTAAAAACAATAAAGTGAAATAAACATTATGACAATTAGTGACTAAATTAACTTGGAGCTGTTAATGTAGTCGACGAGAGAATTTTAACCTTACTTTAAATTTTAACTAGATAAATGAAGTTTGTGGCATTCCTTAGGAAGGTCTTTGTTCAGCAGTGAACTTGCTTATGTTGCTTGCGTCTGTAATGATGATGATGTTGAAAGAAAGTTTTTAATTGAACGTGAGTCGTGTGGTGTGTGCAGGTGCGCGAGGACGCGGCGGCGGGCACGGTGGCGGCGCGGCTGCGCGTGACGGACGCGGACGCGGCGGCCGCGCCGCTCGCCTACTTCGTGGCGGCCGGCGACCCCACCGCGCGCTTCCAGCTGCGAGCCTCCCCCGCCGCCTCGCCCTCCCCCTCGCCCGCCGCCGAGCTGTTCGTGGCGCGCGCGCTCGACCGCGAGCACACGCCGCGCTACGACCTCACCGTGGCCGCCACCGACGGCAAGTTCACCGCCTACACGCGCGTGCTGCTCAACGTGCTCGACGTCAATGGTGCCTATAGAATCTCTGCAGATTTATTATTTTCTCACCAGAAACTTGTATATCCTACAAAGTACATCGATGTTTATCGCAGACAACCCGCCGTACTGCACGCAGCACCGCATCCGCGTACGACTGGCGGAGGACACAGCGCGAGGCTCGCGCGTGGCGGCGCTGAGCGTACGCGATGCCGACGAGCCGCACAACGCGCGCCTGCGCTTCTACCTCTCTGGCGACAACGCGACGCATTTTGCTATACACAAGGTGTGCGCTTTTACCTCAACGGTGACAACACGTCGCACTTCGCTATAAACGAAGTGCGTGCTTCTACCTCACCGGCGACAACGCGACGCACTTCGCTATACACAAAGTGTGCGGTTCCACCTAACCGGCGACAACGCGACGATCTCGTCTTACCGATGACCATCTGCAGGATTTAATGGCAGGCAATATTTTGCACTAATTTAATTCCAGACTTCAGACAAATGTTCACATTAAAAAATGCCATTTTTCACTTTAATATTAGGTACATAAGTTGATATTTTTTAATTAAATGTATCTATAAAATACACTGCTTTATTCTACATAATAAGCACGTTATTACATAATATCACTAACACTACACAATATTCGGAACACGTCTGTCAGTTTACACGTATAACAGAGATGTTGCCTTCTCGCTGGTTACAATTCAACTGCTCGATGTTCTTTTTTTTGCGCCCAGAAGCAAAGTAAAGAGCTACCCTCCGGGAAGTGGGGAGGGAGGTGGTGAATGCTCTTAGCATACTACGCAGCCGGCTGCGTAGTATGCTAAGACTCACTTTGAAACCTAAGTGCCTACCCACTAAACACCACCTGGGACTGGCTTTGGCCTGGAGGGCCTTTCTGTCGAATGGGAAGCGACCTCCTTTAGGGAAAGGGGGCGCAGCAGCCCTATTCACAAAACGGGCTGTATTTATACACCAGTAGTGACGACCATTAGACGTTTGTCTATACACCACAAGAAGTTTGTAAACACACTACATCTCTTCCTTTTCCTTAATATTTTTGTTTATGGTTCCATGCATGATCATTAGTTGCTTTAACTTTTACAAAATTTGCTTAGATTACTCCTCAATAATCATTTTCATTTCAGAGTTACTATTTGTTACTTCTTCATTCAAATTGGGTAAACTTCATTCTAGTGCATCATTAACTAACCTCCACTCCCCTTAATTTTTTTTAATTGAACTACATTTCGTCGATAATGTGCATTCGTATCATTATTGCGAATCACTACGTCTACAGTGGTGTTAGTAGTTTTTACAACAGTATATATGGCTGGAGAAATGCTTGTTGTAAGCTTATTTTCTTTGGCAATTTTTTTTTTACAATTACCTTATCACCTTCATTTCTTCCGTGATCTTTGGCCTTTCGCTTGCGCTTACTGTAAGTTTTTCCTGCTTCTTTTTGCAACGTGTCTCTGTCTAACTTCTGAACCTTCTTGTTTATTTTCAGTATCTATGTATGATGGAATTCCACCCCGAAATTGTCGTTTGTAGAATAGTACAGACGTAGTTTTACCAGTTACTGAGTGGTGTGGGCTATTGTGCATCGTCAAATAGTAAATTAATCTTTTTTAAAAATTTTATTTCAACCTGACTGATTTTTAAACGCTTTAAAATAATTCGGTTTTGCCTTTCCACTTGTCCAATCTGTTTAGGCCAATATGGTATTGTATTGTGAAGAATTATACCACATTCTTGCAGGTAATATCGATACTCTTGACCAAAAAATTGCCTGTCGTTATCTTCAGTGATGGTAACTGGATAACTAATCCGTGAAAATCACCTTTAGTAACCCAATAATATCATGTGAAGTTACACTTTTTGTCCGTTTTACTTCCTTATAACGGCTGTAATAATCAACGATAACTAACAGGAAATTTCCAGAGCGTAGAAGGTCCCATTAGATCAATAGCTACATCGATCCATGGTTCAACTGGTAGTTCACGGTGCTTCATTGGATTAGGTGGATTTGGTGCAGATATTAATTTGCATGTTTTACAGTTTCTTACCAATATCTCTGCATCTTTATAAATTTTAGGCCACCATACTTTCGTCCGTAATCATTGTTTCATACAAAAAATATCAAGGCGATCTTCTTGAGCGGCTTGCATTACTTGCTGTCTTAATATTTTATTAGGAATAACAATTTTGGTATCTCGAAGTAAAATATTATTTTGGAAGCAAAGCTCTGATTAAAATACTTTATAATTTGATATAGTATGGCCCCAGGTACACGAGTATAAGCCTTGCAGTACTTTAGCGATTTCAGAATCTTCCTTGAAAAATTGATCAATATCGTCCAGTGATACAGCTGCGCGTCTTGTGTATTCAATTATATGCCTGATATGTTCCTCGTCAAAATTACGTATTGTATTCACTGAATAATGTTTTGATGTGCAAAGTCTTGAAAAATGGTCAGCTATATTCGATTTACCTGGTCGGTACACTATTTTGTAATTATAGGCCCATATCGAGGAACCCATCTTTCAATTCGGTCACAAGGCTTAGAGCTTCTTCCAAAAATAATTTTTAATGGTTTGTGGTCACTTATCAGTTCAAACTCACTTTTTACATAAAATATATATTCTAAAATGTTCTACAGCCCATACTTAGGCCAGTGCTTCCTATTTAGTTTGGCAGTATCACTTTTCACAGTCTGTTAAACTCTTATTTCCAAATACTATTATTCTAGGTCCTTCTGAATTAATTTGGATTAGGACCGCCCCTACCCCAACAGGACTGGCAATAACTTGGGTCTTGTCAGCCGGATCATAATACCCTAATTACTGCATATTGCATAGAGCTTTCTTTAATTCGTAAAATGCGTTTTCCTGGTCTATAGTCCAGAATTTTTCAATATCGGCATTTTTTCCAGCTTAAGCCTTAGTATTTTCCGAAACGGATCAGTGAGTGTCGCCAAATTTGATATTCTTTTCCCAACAAAATTTTCTAACCCCAAGAAACTTTGTATTTCCTCGATAGTTGATGGTTCCCTGAACATTTGGATAACGTCAATGTACTTTTTTAAAGGCCTTCCACCTTCACTAGATAATTCATGCCCCAAGAACACTATTTTATTTACTTTGTAAATACACTTGTCATTATTTAACAGAACATTGTTCTCTTTCAAAATATTGAAAGTCTGTTGGTATCGTTGGACGTCGTCAATAAAATTTACCGTACCTTCAAACCATATAAGGGTGTTTTCTATGATTTTCTGAAACATTTCTGGAGCACAGGAAATACCAAACATAAGTCCCTTATATCTAAATAACCCTTTGTTCTTTATAAATGTAGTGATATATCCATCCAGGGTTTCAATTTGGTTGAAAGCGTTTTTAAATCGAGGTTTCTAGTGTATACACCTAAATAAACAAAACAACGCCTCAGCGGTTGTTCTTTAATTTTTTGGACATTTTAACTCTCTTTTTAATTCCTTTACTTATAGGAATATCCGCAGTTTGATTTATCGACTTTATAAATTATTACGCCGTTTGTATTGTTATTTATAATGATTTATCGACTTAAGTATTATTAATAGAATCAGGCGTTACTTTGCGGAAATCCATTATATTAAAGTTGGTAAAAATTTCCTCGCGTACATCCGCTATAAAATAAAATAATGTGTCTTACCTAGTTTGAAGAGCACCTCCCGATCCCCCTTATAGGGTGCACTATCCCCGTCACCACTAATCCCAGCACTGACCTGTTATCGACTTTAATCTAATTAAGAAAAAAATATAGGTAATTTTTTTTAAGAAATGTTAATCTTTACACTTGTCTAACAAATTAACTTTACTAAATATTATATTTTTAAGTTTATAGTAACGAAGATTGTTTGATTGATCGAGCAATGCACGTGCAAAAGTGCAGTTTGCACTTTTGTTAAAGTATTGTTGTTCTTATATGTATTATTAGGCATGTTTGAAATTATAGCGAATCACGATTAATCGAAAATGAATATTTTAATGCTCGATTTAATAAAGAATCGATTTTAGTATGTTAGATTTGAATCGAATTGGAGATTGATTTTTTTAAAGTGAATCGACATGCCTACACCGAAATCAATGACAAATTACCGTTTCGTTCCACGGTCACTTTGAATCATGTTCACTTTTAGAAATAAGTTTTAACACAAAGCTCTGAGTGGTATCTATTTTTAGTAATAAATATTTAATACACAAAACATGTTATCTTTGTAAAGTAATATTTTTCTTTTTATACAACCTGCAAAAATGATTCATTACATGCATTTTCCCCCATAATTCATTAACCATGATACAAATATCAAAACAACTCATTTTTTTTTTTCAAATTTAATTTTTCCCGTTAGATAGGTATTCATAAAATCTTTAGGTAATTTACTATACCAAACTAGCAAATTGGTTGAAATTTCTAGTAGGCTCAAAAGCGATTTTTAGCATATTAATACATAAAAACAAAATGTAAAAAACGTTAAAATTATAAATAGATATTAATTTCATAAATTTATCTTATTAAGGAATCTGGAGTGATCACGGTGGCTGAAGAGTTAGATCGTGAAACAATATCTGAGTACAAATTGGTGGCGCATGCGCAAGACCGAGATCGCCCTAAGTGGGAGTGTAGTACTGAAATAGAGGTATCACTCGACGACATCAATGACAACGCGCCGCGCTTCTCTGCAGAAGTTTACAGCGTGACTCTGCCTGAAGATGCCGACATCGGTTCTTTCGTCGCAAAAGTGAGTTTCGCACTCTACACTTTTCACTACATCATATATTTTGTGCGGGTTCGTATTCACATTTATCTTTTCATTTTACAGGTGCACGCTACGGATGCAGACCTCGGTGAAAACAGTCTTGTCCGCTACTCGTTCGTAGAGGAAGGCGACTCGGCGTTCGAGCTGGCGGGCGACAGTGGCATCATTACGCTGCGCGCGGCGCTGGACCGCGAGACGCAGGCCGAGCACCGGCTGCGCGTGCGCGCGAGCGACGCGGCCGTGCCGCCGCGCTCCGCCACCGCCACCGTGTGCCTCACTGTTGCCGACGTCAACGACAATCCGCCCGAGTTTGAGTTCAGGCAGTACCACGTAACCGCGCCCGAACTCGACGCGGTCGGCACCGAGCTGCTGCGCGTGCGCGCCACGTCTCGCGATACTGGCGTCAATGCGGACGTCTTCTACTCGCTAGTCGCCGGCGACGACCGAGAAGACTTTGCCGTCGACCGCATGAGTGGCGCCTTGACAATAGCGCGCCCTCTCGACTTCGAGCGCAGAAAGGAATATTTCTTGACGGTACAGGCCCTCGACGGAGGGACTCCACCGCTGAGCGACCACGCCACCATCAACGTCACCGTCTTGGACGGAAACGACAACGCGCCAGTATTTTCACAGGCGTCGTACGGGGCGCGTGTGCGTGAGGACGCGGCGGTGGGCACGCGCGTGCTTCAAGTGATTGCCGACGACGCGGACGCGGGCGCAAACGGCCGCGTAACGTACGCGATCGCGCGCGGCGACCGTGACGGCCATTTCGCCGTGGACGCCGACACCGGCTACGTGTCCGTGGTGGCGCCGCTGGACCGCGAGACAACGCCTGCTTATGTGCTGGAACTGCGCGCGCGCGATCGCGGTCTGCCGGTGCTCGAAACCTCCACTTTCCTCAACATCGAGGTGCTAGATTGCAACGATAATCCACCGCTTTTCGCACAGATCAACTACACCGCTATCATTCAGGAGGATAAGCCGCTCGGTCACACTATTTTAAAATTTGTCGTCGAGGATGCGGACGCCGCGCCAAATACGGCACCCTTCACGTTCGATTTTCAATCGGGTAACGAAATGGGCGCATTCCGCTTGGAGCAGGACGGATATTTGCGATCTGCCACTCGATTCAACCATCGCATCAAGAACCGATATGTGCTACAAGTGCGTGTATTCGATAACGGAACTCCGCCTCTGTTCTCCGACGCATGGGTTTACATCAAAATTATCGAAGAATCTCATCATCCGCCGGTCGTGACGCCGCTTGAAATAGTCATAAACTCGTACCTTGATGAATATGCCGGTGGCGTAATAGGACGCGTGTTCGCTTCGGACCGAGATGCTTACGATACTTTAACTTACGCTCTCGCTCCCATAGACGGTGCACCCTATCCATCTACTGATCTTTTCGAAATTGACGCCGCAGTAGGTACACTGCGTGCCGCACCACGAATAGACGTCGGGGACTACCGTCTCAACGTGACCGTCGACGACGGTAAATTCGTCAGCTTCGCCATAGTTCACGTCACCGTCGTGCTTATCTCGGAAGAGATGCTCGCACAGGCGATAGTCGTTCGCTTCAGGGAAGTGACCGATCGCGACTTTGTTCTGAGTCATCGAAAAGGATTCATTCGCGCCATTCACGAAGCGACCCGGTGCCGGCTAACGGACGTGGTGATCGTCGGAGTGCAGTCATCCGACGATGACTTTGAAGCGGATTCGGAGCGATCTCGTCGCACCATCCGCCAGGTGGCGCAAGACCTGGACGTGGCTTTTGCGGTGCGTGCGGATGACAGCGGCGGATTCCTACCTGCGGACGCGTTGCGCCGCGGCCTGCACGCGCACCTCGAACGCCTGGAGGAGGGCGCGCGCCTCGTGGTGGAGGAGCTGGTGCGCGCGCCGTGCGGCGGCTGCGTGCACGGCGCGTGCGCCGAGCGCGTGCAGCTGCGGGCCGCCGACGCGCGCGCCATCGCTGCTGACGTGTTCTCGCTGGTCACGGTGCCCTTCCGGCTGCGCGCCGAGTGCGCGTGTGCGCCGGGCTACGTCGGCGAGCGCTGCGAGCGTGCACTGCCCGCCTGCGCGCGATGCACCGCCGCGCGCTGCGAGCCCGTGCCTGACCCACCCGGCTACCGCTGCTGCGAGAACGATGCGGATGCAGACGCGGATGGGGAGGAGGAGTGCCGCGCGCCAGCCGCCGTCGCCTACTTCCCCGGCGACGGCTACCTGGCGTACCGGCTCGACGGCGGCGTGGTGGAAGGCGAGCGGAGCCCGGAGGACGTGCTGACGGTGTCGCTGCGGTTACGCACGCGGCGCTCGCGCGGCGTGCTGCTGCACGTTGCAGGGCTCGTGGACTACGCGGTGCTGGAGCTGGCGGAGGGGCACGTGCAGTTCCGCATGCAGCTGGGCGGCGGCGAGGTGGCGCTGCGCGCGGGCGGGCGCGTGGCGGATGGCGAGTGGCACGCGGTGCGGCTGGAGCGGCGCGGCGCCGGCGCGCGCCTCACGGTGGACGGCCGCTCGGCGCGCGCGCAGGCGCCGCCGCGCCACCAGCTGCTGGACGCGCGCGCCGCGCGCCTGCTGCTCGGCGCCGCGCTGCTGCGCCACGCCTACGCAACAGCGCCTGAACAGGTACGTCACCAAGCTTACTTTATCGTTGACAACTAAAATCTATATCTCAATATCTAACCATAAATGTAAAAAATCAAAAATGTTTACAAGTCGAGACACGTAAGTTTAACGCGTTGAACGAAACGTGGAGGATATAACTACGCATGAATACTCGCGCACGTATCACGTATTATCAGTACGGGGGACAGAATACAATAAGACCGCCTATTGCATTCTTCTTTTGTTATTATAATTCCAGTTATTTTTGTATCGTATGCAATAAATAATATTACAAAAATAAATAAATAAAAACTAAATAAATTGTATTAATATTTCAGCCGTACCAAAACATTTTGATTTTTTTATTTATTTATTTAGGCTTACCAACTAAACACATACAAAACATTATTATTAAACATTTGCAGTTATTAACAAAATTATACTATATATGTATTTAACTTAAAGGTACAGATGCACAACATTTCAACATGAAACTTAAAATTTGTAATGGAATTAACAGATAATAAAATATGATATAAACACAAAGACGGTATTCTATGCAATACAGGTAAGGCTATAATTTGGTAGAGAGCTTAACATTGTGCAATTTAAAGTTTTATCTTTCAGTTTGAGTGTAGTATAGAAATATTTTATTTTTTAAAGAACCCAGACTAACACTAAATATTTACCGAATATATCATTGTACTTATCATCATAGAACATAGGGGGGAGTTGTTACCATAATGTTTAGCTATTGAAATTTACACTAAAGGGACTAAAGTTACATAACCTTGCTGAAAGTCTGGGCACCTTCAAATTTATTTGTGATAGGAGGGATGGACAATCCACTTTATTATTAAGTAGTTTATGTAAAAGGCTTATAAATAGCAAATTCTTTCAATGCTCCAATGATAAGATTTCGAAATGAGCTAATCTTTCAGAGTTCATAAGATATTTAATTTAAAAATATATTTTGGCTTCTTTCATACGCTGAATATTATATTGATAAGACGGGTACCATACGACCAGTACAAAATAGAGAGCTTTTCACGCTAAAACCAACTTAAAGTCTTTGGTATTTCTAAAAATAAAAGCTATTATTATTAATGATTTGTTTATGGTATCGGTAATGTGGTTAATGAATCGCATCTGAGAGTCAATAACAGTTACTAAATCCTTCTATTTATCTATTTTTGCTAGATCTACATCATTAATATTGTAACTACTATTTTATTTATATTTGTTAAATTTTCGAGAGAATATAATGTGATAGCATTTATTTGTGTTGAGAGACATTTTATTTTGCCGGCACCATTTTGTAATTCTATCTATATCTACTTGAAGTTGAATTTGGTCTGTGTTATTATTTATAATTTTGGATATCTTTAGGTCACCAAATTCGAAGTTCCGGATACAGTACTTAATATCATCGATAAACGTAATAAAAAGTAATGGGCCAAGGTGCGAGCCTTTTGGAACTCCAGACTTTGGGATAATTTCTCTAGAAACAAAACCACTCATGACTGCTCTTCGATCTCTCGTGTGACTCGTGTTCGATCTGTGAGTCTAAAAATCATCCATTTATGCCAAAAATAATGTGTGTAGTTTGTTGATTAGAGCTGAATGATTTACTGTGTCAAACGCTTTACTAAAGTCATTATATATAGCATCTACTTCATTCCCTGAGCTTATTCTAGTAAGTGCTCTGTCAACAAGTGTAATATGATTGGATGTAGTAGAGGGTTTTTTTAAAAATCCGTGAACTGATCAACAAGCTATAATATGTTTTATATGCCAAGTCAAATAAGGACAAATTAATGATTCTAAAACTTTACCTAAAACTGGAAGAATGCTAATAGGTCTGTAGTTGCAGACATTACTTTTATCGCCTGATTTATGTAAATACTTCGCCGCCATTTTGGTTAGCTAAATTATTTTTATTATTGTCCATTGCGTTCCCACGAATAGCGAGGGAAAGGTTTGTAGCCCCCCCCCCCCCCCCCCAGCAGAGCCCCGCATGCCAGGGTAAGGCTAGCCTAATTCTAGGGTCGCCCGGTCCCAGGGCAGTGTGGCACGCTAACGACTAGGCTTGCCCCTAGCCATGCATCCATCCGCGCGGCAGACGTTGGATTGGCAGGGAGGGTAGGATTAGAAAAAGGGGAAGAATAGGTGGTGTGAAAAGGAAGAGTAAGGTAAGTTAGGGTAGGAAATAGAAAATGTTGGATATTACCATAGGGCAAGGGATAGGACAGTAATAGCTAGGGAAGCCGGGGTCGCATACCCGTATACTATATCACAACTACCGGACAGGTAAATTTGAATGAGTATCCCACGGCTACAGAATGAATAGATTAATCAAAGTAAAAAAAGGGCGTTACTCAAAAATATTCATGTATAATAAATTACCAAACAGTATAACCAGCCTAAACTATAGCATATTTAAACGGCAGCGTAATTTTTTTTTTGAAAATAATCCATTTTGCAAATTAAGCGAATACATGTCAATGCAACACTTGGAATCATCATTCTTGTGTAACGTTCAAACAAAATAACTTACCTTCTATGATGTAAATCGTCAATGTAACTAAATTAAAGTAATTAAATAATGTAATTTAACCTTATAAATTTAAGAACTGCTTAAAGTAAGACTAGACATGAATCGTTGACACAGATCACGTACGGCTTTCACGGGTGCATGAGCGACGTGAAGATCGGGTCGAGCGTGGCGCCGCTGTCGGAGGGCGGGTCGTCCGACGACGGGCGCGTGCAGCTGGCGCGGCGTGTGCGTGTGCGTGTGGCGGCCGCGTGCCCCGCGCTGCCGCCGGCCGGCGCCTGCGACGCGTACCCGTGCCTGCACGGCGGCACGTGTCGCGAGCTGCCGCCGCTGCTGGAGGGCGGCGACGCGTTCCAGTGCACGTGCCACGCGCGCTTCGCCGGCCGCCTGTGCGAGCTGGACACGGACCCGTGCGCGTCGCAGCCGTGCCTGCACGGCGGCTACTGCACGCCGCAGCACGGCGGCTTCCGCTGCGAGTGCGCGCCGGGCTTGTCCGGCGAGCGCTGCGAGCGTGGCCGCTGGTGCGCGGCCGGCGTGTGCGCGCACGGAGGCGCCTGCGAAGAGGGCGAGCGCGGGCCCTCGTGCCGCTGCCGCGGCTACTTCGGCCCGCGCTGCGAGCACGACGTCGACGAGTGCGCGGGCGAGCCCTGCCTCAACGGAGCCACCTGCCTCAACGAGCCGGGCTCTTTCCGCTGCATCTGTCCACCGGACAAGACTGGTAACTTTTTTTTATAAGATCGGGTGACAAACGAGCACACAGTCCACCTGATGGTAAGTGGTTACTGTGGCCCATAGACATCTATATCTATCTCAATAAAGACTCAAGATGCAGATGCGTTGTCACCCATGAGGTGAGAGGATTGAATGCCTCTTTGCCAGTAAAAAGGGTCTCCGGTTCTCTACATTCACCATACGAAACACAGCAGCGTTAAGCTGCTATTTTACGCTGGTTTTCTGTGAAAGCGTGGTCCTTCCCCGGTCGAGCCGACCCATTCGTGCTACAACCATAATATACCTGCAGCATGGCTCTACCACGTATAAAAAACTAACTGCTGAACTCTGTTTCGTGTCACTTATTTTACCTTTATACTTAACTTTATGGTACTACATGCGCAGATTAAGAATGGGATTATAAATGGCGTCTTATCTATTAAACATTTGCTTGCACAGTGCTGATATATGCAATGCAACACACAACCGCCGATAAAAACCACAAAAAATAACATAATTTTGCGTTTCGATAAGCGTTTTTGTGCTTTTTTTAATTTATTATTATTAACAAAACATCAATTTTAAATGCAATTTTGTTTCAAGAATTAATTTGTTTTCCGAAGTATCAATTAATGAATATTACATAATTTACTAATTATATAATTTAATAGATTTTAATATAATACTCAGTTCTTTGCAATGACTAAAAATTTCCGAATACTACAAAACAATATACGTTAATAAAGTTTTAATATAATAACGTTATTAGAAATATTAAGATGCAACGTTATAAGCACCACTTTCGCTTTATATAACTTTGTCTGCTGACAATACAAGGGCGGCGGGCCCATTCTTTATGCGCAGGAGTAATAATGAAAAACATCTATTCATTGTGAATTAGATAACTATAACTATTCTTATTGCGTATTTTGAATCTCGACATTTCTGGTGCTTTGCAACACCAACACAAATACCATTTTAAATAATAAAAAAGCCAGAGTAGTATTATGAATGCATGAATGCATATATGGAGCAAGCTATTTGATATCTGTGTATTGGCGGTCTAAGAATAATCACAACTTTTTATCGCCCCATGGATGTCGTATTAAGTCACATAAACAGCCTTCATGAAGTACGTATGCCGAGATTATCTACCCTGTATTGGTCGTTTGTACTCGGAAAATCTTCCATGAAGGTCGCATACTCGCGGGTATAGATAGTGTTTGCAAAGCCTACACTGAGGACGGTAACGCTTGCGGCAGGTATGAACTGCGGCAACCCGCTGTACTCGGACGCGGTGGTGGCGGGCGACGTGGGCGACGTGGGAGTGCGCGACGCGCGGGCGGCGTGGCGCTGGGCGGTGCGCGCGCGCTGGCCGCTGGGCGCGGCGGGCGGCGCGGCGCTGCTGCTGCTGGCCGCCTGCGCCGCGTGCGCCGCGCCCGCGCTGCGCCGCGCGCGCGCCGCGCCGCCCGCCGCGCCGCTCAACAGCGCGCTCGACAAGGCGCCGCCGCCGCGCGCCTCCAAGCTCTCCAACCTGGAGGCCGAGCGCCGCGAGCGCCCCGCCTCTTGCGCCGAGCCGCCGCCGCTCAACAACATCGACACGCTGCGCAGCTACGGCTCGGCTGGTGACGAACTCGAGGGCATCCCGCCCGACTACCTGCGCAACCTCAACATCGACCTGCCCGACCGCAAGCCCTGGTCCGAGCAAATGCATCTGCAAACATTCGTCGACAATAAAATTTACAACGGTATGTCGATCGATCTCCTGTCCATGGTTAGATTAGCTTTATTGACGCTTAAGAGAGCGCCGTGATAGGTTTATCTATGAAGGGTATCATTACGTGCATTTTCTCCACTATGATGCTACTACTTTTTTGGCTGCCAAAAAAAACGAGTAAATCTGATAAAATGAAGAAAAATATTAAATATAATTTGCAGGTACATGAAAATTGGCGAAATAATAAATTGCAGCATTTTTTTCATCTGTAAGATTATTAATTTACCGATACCTAAGAATATTCTTCCACTGGCTGAATAAATTTCATAGATTTTTCCGCCTTTTTACAAGATAATGTACGTCTATTGACTCCACTACAGATGCGAACGTATTATATCGCCGATTCATTAACACAATTTCATTTTTTTTAAACAAACGTCTAAGGGCTTTACACGGAGCGTAGAGCCTTAAATTCCAACTGGACATTCTACCACCACTCTTTTCAGATCTGAAAGGCTGCAAGCGGCAGCCGCGTCCACCTCCAGTTGTTCTGGCGGGCGCGGGCGAGCCGCACATGGTGGGCGGCTACCACTGGGACTGTTCGGACTGGTGCGGTGGCGGCGCGTTGCCCGGCATCAGCGAGGTGGCGGGCTCGGAGCGGCCGGATTCGTCGTCGCCGCCGTCGCGCGCCTCTCCGGCGCCGCGCGCGCGTGCGTCGCGCCGACACCGCGCCCGCGCCGCGCCCCGCAACTCTCCCCGCACCTCGCCAGCCTCGCCCGCACCCGCCGCCGACACGGACTCGGCGCCAGACGACCTGGACAGAGACCTCGACACGTTGCGCTTCACCGATGGTGCGTATCAACACTTATGTATAGACTACAAGACGGCCACTACGATACTATTATATTGTGCACTAAAGGTAAACGCATATTTGTCAGCAACGTACGCACCGCATTTACTTATGGCCTCACACATTGATACGTACGCGCTGTCTTAATATTGCCAGCAACTTTTGCATTTTTTCCAACCCCTGATGTGAAAGAGTACATTGATCGCTCGAAATCGTTCGAATCACTATGGACAAAAATATTGTAATAGTCTGCTTATTAGCAGAGGAACAAGAAAATAAAATTCCAAGAAAAAGAAGATTCTGGATTCAAAATATTAATTTAAAAAAGTAGTTGTATGGAGAATATTATATATTATATAAAGACTTATTAGATGATCATGAACGATTTTTTAGATAATTGTATTTGATGGATGTATCGTCTTACGTATATCTTGTCAGACGACTCAATAATGCCTACTCAGTAAAAGTAAATACTTAAAAAAGTATATTTCGAAATGTGTAAGTGTGTTAACTGTGGAGAAGAGTGAGTCGTAAATGAAAATCTTGTCACTAATTAAATTTTAATTCTACTGAACCACTAAAAAACACTAGCCACTGTAAACAATATTTATCCACTAAAAGAGTAATCAAAATCACCAGTTTTAGTAGAAAATCCACTAAGTTGGCAACATTAGGCAACACTGAATATCTTCACGCGCCGCATTATACGACGTTATCAGCATGCCACTTTCAATATTCGCATATCCTCCACATTTTACAAAATACGGCACGTACAACGAATTCTAAAATGCGGCACGTACGGAGCGTGCGGCGTGTACGGTACTGATAAATGCGCTCGATCTTTCGTAACTTCTTTAGTCGACAACGAGCCGGCGGGAAAACTAGTTTTTTGTTTTATAAACCGCGAACGCTGTTTTCGACAATCTAACACTGATTTTGTTTAATGCGACTTGGAATACGCTGTCATTGTTTATGTGCGCAATTTACCTATCAACATGATTTGAAGTTTATTTCAGATGAGTGTGTAACTTTATTTCGTAAGTGCCTAAAACAGTAACAACTGTCGTAAATGAAAATATAACTGAGTGGCATATTTCAGCGCCAGCTACCCGCGCAACTAGCGCCTGTGAGCCACAGCTGTGACACAGTTTTTTTCACAATTAACATATTACAATAACTATTTTGTATTTGATTTTTGCATGCCTTAAGCGCGCAGGTATGTTCTGCTTGGGCCTAAAAATAACGATTCCAACGTTTTGCCGCATGTAATCGTATCTAGCAATCATATTATACATATAAATGATATAAATGGCACATTTTCAGAAAGATTGTTCAACTTATTAAAATTTTTTTTTAATTGATTAATTGCTATTTTTAAATAAAAAAGGGGTTTTAATGACTTTTCGTGTGGTTTTATCAAGACCGCATGGCAGCGTGAACACGATAACTTTTGAAATTACATTTCGACAGCACTATCGGCTTCAACATCCGCAAAAACCATGAAAACGACACCCATGATGAAAAAATTTAGGCCTATTGCAGCCGCCATCTTGGATTGACATTCCGACAGCACTATCGGCTTCAACACCATCAAAACCACGAAAATGACACCCATGATGAAAAAAATTGATACCTATTGCAGCCGCCATCATGGATTTACATTTCGACAGCACTATCGGCTACAACACCCTCGAAACCCATGAAAATGACTCCAAAGATGAAAAATTGATACCTATTGCAGCCGCCATCTTGGATTGACATTTCGACAGCACTATCGGCTTCAACACAATCGAAACCATGAAAATGACACCCATGATGAAAAAATTGATACCTATTGCAGCCGCCATCTTGGATTTTCATTTCGACAACTCTATCGACTTCAACTCTCTCCAAAACCATGAAAATGACACCCAAGATGAAAAAATTTATACCTATTGCAGCCGCCATCTTGGATTTAAAGGAGACAGTTTCTATTTGTATGGAGAATGGGCCGACCACAAATTTTAGAGAACCTTAATGAAATGCATGTCGATTTATTTATTATAATCTATAGATTACAATAGAAATATTAGTTTTTCCGTATCTAATGAGAGTACTGAGTAATTAGCAAATAAATTATGTATCTTACTATAATCTAAAAACAAACTAAGAACTATTTTCTATTAGTTTTCATCGGTAGGTATTATAAGTTAAAATAGTGCACTGTTCAATAAATAATAGTATAAAACAAAGTTGTAGTTACATTCGGCATTTATAGGTACTTAAAAGTAGATGGAAAATCTTTTTAGTAGTTCCTGCAAAATAATATAGTGCATGTCTGTGCATGACTATGGTATGGATACTATTTTTTACATGTATTGTTTTTAAGTATACATCCCAAATACCGTTTAAGTAATATGATTAAAGCCGAGTTGAGTCAGGGATAATATGTACATTTATAATATTACCTACACACTCTATATAGTAAGAAAGATATTTTGAACTGGTTGTATAAGGATAAAAACACAAGTTATAAAGCATCTACATTTATATTAGTAAATCATATTTTCAAAAGTCGTCTATTAACAGTAGAACAAATAGACAGGCACGGTGTCAAAACTTTGTTTGAAAATATATTATCTGATTAGGTTAGGTTAGATACCTCAAACATTTTTAACTGTTATTACACACTGATAAATAGTGAGGAACAAAAAAACAATTTAAAACATCTTAATGTTTTAAATTGTTCATGGAAGTATAATAAGACACATGTATAATTTAATTGTATTTGTTATTGTGAATCATTTTAAAATATTTTTTCTAAATAACTTGATGATAACATGTCCATTTATGATATTGGCAGGAATTCGAAGAACATTTTAAATGATATGATAGAAGACTGTTATCTTCAATACCCATACTCTTTTTTGTCTCTGCCGACAGGCAGCTCTGCAAGCTTTTAGCCTGCCAAGCACTTATATATGATCTCAGCGATTGACCTGAAAAGTTAATTATTGTAAAGAGTGCCCATACTAAATATTAATTCTTATCAATATATTATTTTTTCTATATTTATTTCATTCTATTTAGCTTGTGGAGACTATGTTTATATATGAATTGCATTTCAAATACTATAATGCTAAAAGAACATGTCTATTAGGAATTAAAAAGGCATTTTCAATAATAAGAGATAAGACATTAAATATCCTTCAATGTCATTAAACTATATTTCCATATTTATGTCAGAATTTTGTTATCCATGCCTATACTCGTATGTTACATAAAAATAAGAAATTATTATAAAATATACACAGTTAATTTACTTTACTATACTTTATTAAATAAATAGGAAATACACTAGAATCGATACAAATATTTAAAAAAAATAGCATGATTAGATGCAATTAAATCTATTATAGACGCAATAACTGTAACGGAAATCCCCCACAAATCTGCGGTTTTCTTTCCATCAATAGTTTGAAGTACTTTACAATATCTTGTGGTAATACTTTTTCAAATCTAAATTCTTTTAAATAGGTATTAAAGTTCTGTTTGAGTAATGACTCGGCGACAGTTTGAGAAGTATTCAATGACTCTAATGTCAAGATAGGAATATTAGTGAAATATTTCTCAAACATCGCTGCGACTTCTTGATTTGATTTAGTCAATTCATTGTTAATTTTTAATTGATAGTTTGAGTTACGAGGTTTGTCTTTACCGGTTTCGCTGTTGATTATACACATTTTAATTTTATTCTTAGCCGTCTTAATTTTCTCGCTAATATTTAACGATTTGGCTGTGGAGCAAACTCTTTTAAATATTTTGAATAATTTTTGACATATTCTTTTAAAGCATCGGAAAGATTATATGATCTTTCATGGTAAAGGTCATATAACCTTCGTCTGCTTTTATGAATTCCCACTGTCGCCCACTCATTAAGAGCCTTGCGACTGTTTCTGGAGAATGTTTTAGAAGTAAATGTTTTATTAAATTCATTGCTTATGAGGGTAAATAATTCTCTATATAAATAGTCTGCATTGTTCTTATGAGAAAGCAATGGAAGGTTTTTTACCATATTACTTCTAAATCTCTCCAGGCGTTTTGCATTAATAGGAAAAAACACAATTTTCTCAATTACCTGTTTTTTTGTGCATATAAGGTAATGAAGCCAGTTGTCCACAGTGATCTGAACAAAGTTTTTGAATTATTAATTTGTTGATTGGTACAACACCTGTAAAAATATTATCAATACAAGTTGCACTACACACTGCAATACGTGTAGCTTCAAAGAATAAATTATCAAGATTACGATTTGAACAAAGAGCAAAATTTAATACTGATGGAAAATTTTCTGAATAGATAATAATATATAGAATAGAACTTACCTCCGGACTGACTTCAAGGTGTACTTCGTTGACTGCTGCGAATAGCACTACAATTTACAATATTTTTTTTTCACTATCATTGAGCATTGTGAGTGTTGACTTTTGGATTTTCCAAACTTTTTTAATTGAAGTTTGACATAAATATATCACAAAATTGGAAGTATAGTTAAAAGGTTATTAGTGAAAACTTGTGTGTATTTAAACTACTTAAAAATTAAGTATAATCATGTTATACGTAATTTTTTTAATGCGCTTAGGGCATACAGTTGCATTTACCAATAGTTTTTAATTTTTATCTGAATTGCCGGTGTTTAAAAGTCTTTGTCAACTGCGAAGTTTTAACATCAAGAATACTACATTTATCGACATGTAGTACTCTTCCTAAATCTAAGCGACCTATAAAACATACCCAAAAAATTCATAGAATAATTATAAAAAAGGTAAATTTCCATCGATGACGAAATGTCGAGCGAACTCCCTATGATTATGCATTGTTAATATGATACTTGTCTGCAGCGAGTTCGTACCTGCTACACCCGGACGAGTACCTGCCGGCGGCGGCGAGCGAAGACACGTTACGTGCACGCGGTCTGCGGGAACCCGACGCCGCCAGCCTCATCACCATGCTCGGTACGCGTCACACACAGCGGTCTACTCGTCCATTCTAACACTTTCTCTTCGATGTAGACTTTTGCACCCGACAGAGTAGTATTTAGAACAGGTCGTTCGATTACAGCAGAGGAGCGGCACTCGCTGCTGGGCGGCGCGGGCTCGTGCAGCGACCTGTCGGCCAACCTGTGCGAGATCGAGGACTCGGAGGCGGAGGAGACGCAGGCGGCGGAGAGTGCGGGGGGCGCGGGGGGCGCGGGGGGCGCGGCGCGGCACACGGACGTGTGACGGCGGCGCGCGGCGCGCCCGCCCGCCGGCCTCTAGCGCGCGCTCAACGGTCACCATTCCACTAACTACAGTGATGTACTATTCTCTGTACTGCGTTTTTGAATAAGATGTTTATGTAAATGAAAAGTGTTGTGCATGCAGGTGTGCGCGCGGTGTGTGTGTGTGTGTGTGTGTGTGTGTGTGTGTGTGTGTGTGTTTGTGTGTGTGTGTGTGTGTTGTGTGTGTGTGTGTGGGTGGGTGTACGTGTGTGTCACTACAAAGTAAAGCTGTAATAAAAAGTAAAAAGTGTCTTGTGTATTCTTTCATAAGCTTCATGATTGCCGAAATTGTTATTGTATAAAATAATATTTAGATAATGGTGTAACATAATTGTGCAAAAAAACTGAACGATTTGTGATGAAGTTTTGAAATGGCGCACATGGACGCAAAACCTGTGAAAATGTTTTCTATTGCATTTGTATCTTGCGATAAGTTGCAATAATGTAACCCTTGCCACAATGTGGCAGTTGAATCATGTATTTTTACTAAATAAGATATTGTAAATTTGCCTTAGCGTGGCGCGATTTGACGCGCATGTACAACAACTACGTTCATATGTGTGTATATTGAAATACTTTACGATCGTGGCGCTTCCTGCGAACGTTGCCGCTGGTCTTAAAAACAAAACCCCTCTTAAAACCCTTTTAAAAACGCAATATATAACATTGGGTGACGAATCGATTAATCCATTAGCTCGCATGAAGCGTCGCGCTGTTAGTATAAAATTACAATGGTGCTCCAACTGTAGTTTCATATCATAAATTTAATGTATGCATTTATAAAACATTCTCTTCTTAGGCTAGCGACTGATGCTAAGGAATATATTTTTATATGTGTAAAGTTACGTGGGCTCCGCGGCCGCAGACGGCCACTGTCGTCCTCACTGGTCGCGTGTTGTACCATTTAATAATTTATTGAACGATTGTTATGTAAGTTTTGACATGACTAGTAATAAACATAGAGTCAATATTTCTTATTTTATTTTACCCCTTAAGTAGTCGCCTTAACTGCCACTAAACATGCATGCATGCACGTACAGATAATCCTCGACTATGAGTCACAATCAGAGTATATAGGAATGCTCCGGAGTATTGAGTGAAGCGACCTACATACATCCCAACATTCTCTCTCTCTCCTAGACCGACGATTGCAGTGTTAGATATCAAAATAAAGCATTTTACTACAAAATTAAACAATTCACAACAGATATATATTTTAATACTAATTCTGGCAAACTTATTATTTAAGCAATCTTAATTAATCCATATTTTTTTACATCAAGTTCACGACTGAGTTGTACACGGCGGTTCAATGAAATCTTATGAAATGTCTCTAATTAAAAATTCACTTTCTACGGTTGTCTGCCTACCCATAGGATAATAATACTATTTTAGCAGGCGATTTTAACTTACCTAATGTTCGCTGGACATTCACAAACTGCTTCTAGTTATAATTTAAAAAAATATGGAATTTTAGGGCATTAGGCAATACAATTCAAAAACTAACACTAACGCTAATAATACAAACCTAAGTGCTTCCTATTCACATACACTCTTACTGTAAGTAGATCATTTTCATCTAGTAATACAATAATTTGTGACGTGTGGCCCGCTATGTGTCACCCACACGAATAAAGCGGCGCTGCGGCCGGCTGTGCGGCGTTAATAGGGGAAGTGTAGATCACTAACTATTGCTTACCCCAATGCGCAAACACATGATGGGGACGATGTTGTGGGACGAATGCATCTCCAAAATTTTCGTGATGCTGACATGCAATGCGATTAGACCATAAGGCCTCAAGAAAATCATTTATTTTTGTATCATCATCATCATTACAGCCCTTCATAAGTCCACTGCTGAGCATAGGCTTCCCCCAAGGAATAACACCTGCATCCGTTCACTTACAACATGTCTTACCAGGTTGTGACTAAACCAGGGGGGGGGGGAGATGCCCTACATATCACCTACAGGTACCAGGCTGTAACTCGAGAACCTTTTTTACCCATCGGTTAACGGTTTTTCGAGCTATATGGCTAGCCCATTGCCACTTCAGCTTACTAATCCGTTGGGCTATGTCGGTCACTCTGGTTCTACAGCAGATATTCTCTGCAGAGAAAACCCGACTGAAGGACCACGTCTCAGATCCATAAGTCATAACTAGCTACACGCACTAGTTGTATAATCTCGTTTTCAGTTTTTTTAGGTATACCTGACGAGAAGACGTGTCGTAATTTCCGAACGCTGGCCAGCTAAGTCTACTTACCTAGTCGGACTATTTGTCCCATGTAAACATACTCGTCAAGAAATTAGAGCTTAGTGCTCCCAACAATTACCGGCGTAGGTAGTCTTTGTTTTGTCTATATTGATCTTAAGACAGTGGTAGAGCCACGCGGCAGCTTTTGCTGTCGCACGGATGGGCCGGCTCGAACCGGGGTGGTACCACGACCTCACAGAAAACCAGCGTGAAGTAGAGGTTTACTTCTGCGTTTCGCTTGGTGAGTGCAGGTGGCCGGAGGCCCTTTTTACTGGAAATGAGGCATTCCATCTTAGTCCTCACGGGTGACAACGCATCTACATTTTGATTTGTAATAGAGGATAGATGTAGATGTCTATGGGCCGCAGCAACCACTTACCATCAGGTGGACTGTGTGCTCGTTTGTCACCCTTATCGTATAAAAAAAAAAAAAAAAAAAAAAAAAAAAAATCTGTTGGGAGACACTATTGAGGTCATTCAGCATATTGCTTAATTCCTCCAGCGATTTTGTCATGAGGACTATATCGCCAGCAAATCGAAGGTGAGTGTTGTTAATACTTCCAGTTTCCAGAAGCTTGAAAACGTCTTTCAATGCTCCGACGAAGAGGACCTATTTGTTGTTGGATAGGTTCCGTACTCTGGTCCTTTACTCGGATAGCCATCGAAACCCTACTTTACAAACACTTCAACTCTTCGATATACTGACAGTCTTTTTTCTATTTTTCGCTAGAGATTACACCAACCCCAGTGGCCGTTTATTAAGTAATGTTATGTACACATTTTTTTAAATATAGTTTTGTTAACAAATTCAGGCTTATTCTACAGGATGGCTAATTACATAAACATACCTGTGATTTGATACAGATGTGTTGGTGTGACCGTATAAGTATGTAGTTATAAATTTACTAAATTCTGCAAAATTTACAAATTGTCTTATAACATTGTATATACTACTATGAAAAATTAAACGTTTTAGGATCATTAAAGAAAACGTTGCTAATATAAAATCATTAAAATAAAAAGATTCTCAATTAGTGACATTTTGCTGCACATTCATCATCATCATCATCATTACAGCCCATCATAAGTCCACTGCTGAACATAGACTCCCCCAAGGAATGCCACAAAGTACGCCACGTGGCCGCTACTCAGATTCTTTTTGCCCCATCGGTTGTCGGTTCTTCGAGCTATATGGCCAGCCCATTGCCTCTTCAGCATACTAATCCGTTGGGATATGTCACACTCACTCTAGTTCTACTGCGAATATCCTCAGTAAGAAGTTTATCACGCAGAGAGACCCCGAACATAGCCCTCCATAGCTCGCTGAGCGACCTTGAGCTTCCTCATATGGCCAGCAGTGAAGAACCACGTCTCAGTTCCATAGGTCATCACTGGAAACACGCACTGGTTTTACAGTCTCGTTTTCAAGTTTTGAGGTATACCTGACGAGAAGATGTACCGTAATTTCCCAAACGCAGCCCAGCCAAGTTGAATTGCCGTCTATTGACCTCTCGGTTGAAGTTTGACTTACCTGGTCGTAGAGATCGGCCTGCTTACTAGTTATAAATACACATACTAGTTATAAATACAATACAAAAAAATTGGTAAATCCAATTGTGAATGTCCTAAGCGAACACAAGTTTTCACTAATAACGTTATTATTATACTTCCAATTTACCAATAATTATATGTCAAACTTCAATTATAAATTAAATTAGTTTAAATTAATACAAACCAATATTTAAGCCAATAGCGTAACAACAAAGTACATAAAATTAACATCAGCCACTAATCAATTCAGCCAATTTTAACATATATGTGTTAAAAATATCATTTCGTACAATTTAATAAAAATAACACTTCAAAAGATTTAACGGCAAACAATTTTTTTTATATGATAACTTTCAACCATAATTTGAGCATAAAATACTGGATATAAGTTTGATTTCATAATAAATATTTGTGACAATCCTCATTTTTTAGACATCTGAAGCCTAAATTTCAATGTAATAATACAATACAAACACTCACGCCTGTCACCTAGAGGGGTAGGAGAGACTACGAACTTCCATTTGACGCGATCCTGACACACCTTTCTCGCCTCCTTTACATCCATATATCTACGAATACACGCTCGTGGGTTAAGGGTACTCCTAATCTGGCCCATTTTAAATGTATCGCCGATTTGGTCGATAAACCTTCGTCTAGGCCGTCCCTTCCCGACCCTGCCATTCACTTCTGCAACATAAATTAACTTTGTCACTCTTTTCTCGTTCATTATTTCTACATGACCAAACCACCGAAGCATTCCTTTCTTAATCCTGGTCACAACGTCATCTTAAAAACCACACTTTTCTCTTATCACACTATTTCTCACCCTGTCATTCAGATTCAGCCCTAGCATACTCCTTAAGGACCGCATTTCCACAGCATTTAATCTACTCTCATGCTTCTTCTGCATGACCCAACTTTCACTACCATACATTAAAGTAGGGACTAACACAGTATTATGAATTGCCATAAGTGCCTTATTTGGCACATTCTGACTCCACATAATAGCGTGTAGAGCCCCAATCACTCTATTTCCTGCATTCACTCGTCGTTCTATATCCTTATCATATCTACCATCTCTTCTAAATAAACATCCCAAATATACAAACTCATCCACTTGCTCAATCAACTCCCCTTCTATTCTTATTTCACATAA